AACAAAGACGGGGGAAAAAGGGAATAGCGAGGGGAGGGGAAAAACAAAGACAGGGAGAAAAGGGAATAGCGAGGGGAGGGGAAAAACAAAGACAGGGAGAAAAGGGAATAGCGAGGGGAGGGGAAAAACAAAGACAGGGGGAAAAGGGGGAGGGGAAAGGACAAACACCCACACATATACAATGTCAACAAGAAATATATGTGTATTATGAATATAATACAGGAATTGTCTCATAACAAAATAAATATTACACACTATACTATATGCAATATAAGTACCTGGCAAGAGCATGACATCTTAATAGCCAATTGTATTATATTAGTGTGAGTCACCTCTAAAAACCGAGTCGCTCACGAGCCACAACTATTTCATAACCTTATTAAATGTGGAATAAAACTATTACAAAAAGGATTCATACTACTTTTCATTGATTGAAGCCTTCTGTCGGCTGTAAGCCACACAAAACACTATGATAAGGGATGATCTGTCAATCATTGCGCCTTCACTTTATTCAATATCCAATCAAAACACAACAAGTTTAAGTCTAAATTAACCAATTTCCCTGCCTGATTTAGAAGTCTTTGAATTTTAACCTCGTCAGATTTTCTCAGCCCGCTATACCAGCAGAGACAACCAACAGCACTTTCAACAACAGAGGCATAAACTAACCTCATAAGTCCTATCAATTCTAAATGAGCCTAGTTTTCTCAGGAGTACCCCTTTCTCATTGTGTTTTTACATTTCTCACCCTGGTTCATCTATCACAACTCCAAGATAGCGATTACTAGGGATTCTCTCAACATCACAACCCATATTGATAGGTGCAAAAATTCTTTCTTTTTTTCCCTAAAGTCAAACACAATCTTGTTGGTCTTTCTACTATTCAGCTTTTAATAGTTATCTGCACACCAGTCCATAATTGTTCTCAACACTGATCTTTAAGTTCTCTCATTACAGTTGGACACGAGACCTACAACAACCGTATAAATTGCATACTTCAGAATCTTAATATTGGGAAACTCTGTTTGACATTCATTAGTGTACGACATAAACAATAACAGCGATAAAACATTTGGTTCTGAAGCTGTTGGATCTGCGTTCCTTTTTGTTCGTTGTTGGCAAGACAGGGTATTGGAGTGGGGTGGGGTTGGAGTGGTCATACCTGGTTGTATTGACTGCCGGTATTCACAGGATCTTCCATGGCTAGTGTCAAGCTACTCAAACCAATGGCTACCATGATCAGGAAGTCAAAGTAGCGAAGGTTGACAATGTAATGGCAGAACCGTCGTACACTAAAAGAAATCAACAAGGCAGAATATCAGAACACATCTGTTTTGGAGATGACAGGGTTGACATTTTAAGAAAATCACCAAACATAAGGCCTCAATCTACTTGAAACAGTGCACTGTGAGAACAAAGCCATATCGCATATCTCTAACAATTCATTGACTGTAGTCAGAAAATGAATTCTTCTGCAATTTGGCAAAGTATTGGGTGTTACATTTTTTGTTACCATAGAAACTTAAAGAGACAGTTGGAGCTGTCATGTTAAGGAAGTTTTGAGTACTGAAACACGGCTGCCACAGATGAATGGAGGGAGAATGAGATGGAAAGTAGATGGGATACTTACGGGTTGGTGGTGCTGAAGATGAAGAGGGAACTAAAAGGAACCATCTCCTTGGGACCAAACCCATCATCTTCTTGAGTATCTTCCGCTTCTGAAAAACAGACCAATATTCCTGGGTTAAATTAGGTGGTAGTGCAAACAATGACAAAAGATACAAGTCTGCATCTGAGACGTGGTCTACCTTAAAACAAGGGCTTGTCCTTCACTTAATGCAATGTTGCTAGCAGTATGTTTTGTGAGCTTGTGGGATGATTCATTGACTTGCTTGAGCAGCATTTCAACTCGCAAACCGCTTGCTCACAACCAGATGGATTCAATCATCTAACCAACCAGAAATTTAACAGAAAACAGTGCTAACAGCGTGACATCATGCATCAAGTTCAAAATCTTGTCAATAACAGTCTTCAATCTTCCAATTTCAAGATGATTTTATATACACTCAAGGGTTAGGGTTAACAAACACTTGATCCCCTCAAAATGCTTCTCTAATGTGGATGGCTATAACTGATTTCCTTCTTTCATCACATCAAATGCCCAACTTTAATACTACTGTTTATCGATCTGAACAAAATTAACATCAAGCTCATTTAATGGAAAAATCTATTTTCAATTGGCAAAACTGGGCGTCTGATGCAACCGGACCTTATTTTCAAAAGTAAGATACTATCACACCAACTTTTGTGTTTGCAAAGTAGACTAAAGAATGGCAGTGCTAAAAATAGTTTCAAGGTTATCAATATACTCATCATGAATACAAACGTCAAATCTTTACTCTACTGAAGATTGTTTTGATTTCATCCCAGATGAATCAAAGTAGTTTTAAATGACCAATTTACTTCTGATGGTAATCATTAACTGCTGAACTCAATAAACATTACTCTACCAATAACAAATGTTAACTCGAGAACTGGAAATCAGCGTGCAATAGTCTTTTCAATAATGACAGAGGGGTATGGATGACTGAAGTAAAGGTGAGGCTCACTCAAAGCAGCCACACCCCCGTCAGGGTAACAATTGCTCAGCCAATACTGGGCCATAATAAGTGGAATACATGTACGTAAGCCTTGACTACCATATCTCTATCATACAATCTTGCATGAAAGCAACATTGGAGTCTGTGAATGTAAACAAACACAGTTTAGCAGCTATCTATAGTCAGTGATGGAGTCGAGTCCATCTAATCCGAGTCCGAGCCAAGCTGAGTCCACGAGGGTCCAAGTCTGAGCCAAGTCCGAGTCCATTTTTGTCCCAGTCCAGCTCAAGTCTGAGTCCAAGTTGTTGAGTCCGAGTCCCAATATTGCCCTCCTGGGACCAAATCCCGGACACACCAAAGATTTTGTTTGAATTGAAGGACATCAAGGTCATTTGGCAACACAACAACATGGTGTACACCGCTATGCCATGCGTATAATTCATTCAAAAGTTTCTGTTTCAGCCCCGAAATTTGACAAGCAGGATTTACGTAAGTAACTATATCCAAGAATTTTCAACTGCATGGGATATCTGTCACTCCGGGATTCAGACACTCTCTTGTGGGCGATGCCTGCTATTTGAAAGTGTTTGAAATGAATAAGAGAGTAGCTGTGACCGTGAAAAACCACTTATGTTTACCGGTCTATGTACGGTCAACTCCGTCCGTAGCCAACTCGGTTGGAGTCCACTCGGTCCCACGTGAACTCAGTCCCTTTGGAAAAATTTGTTTATTTTTAACTTTGAGGTGACTTCATCAGTTATGCTCTGTTTTTGTCAGTTCGCTCACAAAGGCCTGGTTATTGGCTATTTTTTTTAAATACAGAAGAGGTAAGTTTTGTGTACAATATTTCCAAGTCGACTTGGAACGAGTTGATTACGGACCAAGTTGACCGGCGCCTTATGTCTAAACTGTACAGTAGGCCTACTGATTTTAAAGGATGCTTCCTCCGAAGGTGCCGCACGAAGTTGTTCCCAACTTCTATGTGTACACCTTACCACAAAATTTGACTTTTACTTTTCAAAGGCCAGCTGTTTCTTCATGGCTTGTTGTAAAGCCAAAATGGATTATCTGTGACAGGGACATGTTTTGATGAACTGACAGTGAGGGCAAGACGCACAAGGCAAATGACTAAACGTGATGCATGCACGTGCACAGAATGTACTTTTTGTATAAAAAGGTGGACAGGACACCAGTCAACTTTGCATATTTTTTACATGGTTTCATTTAGTCAGGTGCATAAAAACTTTATGCCAGTCCTAGCACGTCCAACATTGTTCACTTGTCCTGTGATTCCAAAATGATGAACAAATTTTTTGTGTACCGAATATAATCTGAACATTCTATATTTACAGATTTAATAAATGATCATTAATGAAGCATTGGCTATGTCTAAATGTATGTGAAGGAGTTTTATGGTGTCACTATCACTCTCAATCTTTTGTCCAATGATGATTGGCACAAGTCACGAGAGGAAGATTAACTATGAGTAAGTCAATCCTTCATGAAAAACATTTTTACACTGCACTGCACAGGCAACTCTGTCAAATCGGTTGTGCGCTTTTCACCCATGCTTGCCATTATCCTAGACCCGAAAATGATTGGTCGTAACCAAACAATTATGGACAACAGATGCAGACAGTTTTTCCAATGAAATTTCTGAATTTTAAAAACAGTGTTTGAATGGATTTGATTCGAGTCCGGTAAGTAGTCCAAGTCAGCCACTAGCTGAGTCCGAGCCTACCTGAGTCTGAGTCGAGTCCAAAAAATTGGACTCGAGTCCAGACTCAATTCCGAACTCCGAACTCCTCCAT